ATCTTTGAGTGCTCAGATAGTGGAAAGTTCTGTGACAATGGAGGGAGCTACAGGATTAACATCTTCCTCAGATTCTCCAAAGTAGAGTCGCGTGGTGAAAAAGGGTCGTTGACAAGGTTTTGAGAATGCTGATACTAAATCAATATCGTCCGTTGTCATTCCCAGGCAGAAAAAGAATTCAGGTAATGTCATGTCTGTTGTTGGTACTGGAGATGTGGGCAACATCAGAATGGTTAAGACCAAACTGGTGAGTGTTTTTGCCTACAAGTTTACACCTGACTTAGATGCCTTGACTTTGTCTGAGTATCTGAAAGAAAAACTTGGACGCGATGTTGCTTGCCAGAAGATTGAAACTGTTCAAAGCAGATACAGTTCATTTAAAGTTTCTGCTGAATGTAATGAAGTCAGTGAAATGTATGACCCGCAGCTCTGGCCCGAAGGGGCTTTTGTTAGACGCTATTATGAGCCACGTAGGGTGGTAGTTAGCGGGTCAAATTCTGCACCAATTGCTGGAGAAAGTGTGCCCCCTCAGGTATAATAAACAGTGTTGGTGCCCCCCATGGACATTCGGGTTGTGTCATACAACTGTCGTGGTCTGCGTGTGGGCCAGATTGTTGGGGATAAAGCCCGCCGTATGGTTGTGGACAGTCTTTTGGAGCACTGTGACATTTTATGCTTGCAAGAGACATTTTTAGCAATATAAATTGAATTCTCTTAATAATGATTTTCATGGTGCTGGTGAATCCACAACAGATCTTGGTATGGATTTAATGAAAGATAGGATATCAGGGGGTGTAGACATACTGTGGAAAAAAGTTAGACTCAGTGCTTAAGGTGGTTAGACTGGATGTTAATTGGTGTATTGCAATACAGATTACTTATCAAGATAATAATTGTATTATTCTAAATGTGTATACACCTTACGAATGGCATCATAATGAAGATGAGTATTTAAATAGACTAGCTTTTATCAGTTATTTTATTGAAAGTTCTACTATTTCTAGTGTGTATGTCATTGGGGACATGAATGCGGACATCTCAGACAGAAATTCATTATTTTCCAGTCATATTGTTCATTTTGTCAAGTGAAGTGTGTTTGCCTGTAGATAGCTATACATATGTTAGTGAGGCTTGAAACAACATCATGGTTGGACCATTGTATTAGTACAGCAGATGCACATGCCTCGCTGAGGGGTATGAGTATCTTATATGATACAGTAACAACTGATCACATACCGGTGTCTATGGTGGTAAATGTTTTTGAAAGTATTTCATAGCGATGTCTAATAATGAAAATATCAATGCAGCAAAAATGGATTGGTCAGACCATTTAGCCCAGGGCTGTCCAAACTCGGTCCTGGAGGGCCGGTGTCCTGCAGAGTTTAGCTCCAACCCTAATTACACATACCTGAACCAGCTAATCAAGCTCTTACTAGGCATAGAAACTTCCAGTCAGGTGTGTTGAGGCAAGTTGGAGCTAAACTCTGCAGGACACCGGCCCTCCAGGACCGAGTTTGGACAGCCCTGTTTTAGCCCATTATGCAAGTACAGATAAATGTGTGAGTAATATTCATTTACCTAGGGATGCAATGATGTGAAGAGATATTAACTGTAAAGATGTAAATCATCAGAGGGATATAGTTAATGCCCTGCATGGTTGTAGTAAGCCATTTTTTAAATCGAAGTGTATAATGAATAAGATTAGGCCTGGCTGGAGTAAATATGTACCTGAATATCAGGCTGAAGCCCAGGAAGCTTTTAAATTATGGGTTATGGCAGGTAAACCCAGGCAAGGGCTTGATCTTGAAATCTCAAATCTTCCTTTTATTTCAAAGATTATGGAGAAAGTTATACTGGCTCAACTACAGTCTTTCTTGTCAGATAACTCTATTAATGACGTCTTTCAATCAGGTTCCACACGGATACGTTTTCTACATTGTTTGTGCTTTGATTTGAACGTAAAACAACGTATCCCTGTGGTACGGCTGACACAGAATAACATACGCTGTTTGCGTTCAGTGGATACTCTCCAAAATGGAGCTACGGTGACACAGAGGAGATGAATTGTTGAATAAAGTTTTTTTTTTCTTTTGCGCACAAAAAGTATTCTCGTAGCTTTGTAAAATTATAGTTGAACCCCTGATGTCCATATTATCCGTCAGACCTAAGTATGTATCAGTCTTTGCTTTCATCTTTCTCTGCTGAAGTCCATACTGCCAAATCTTCATACTTCCACAACAAGATCAACAGCGCTCCAGACACACGTAATCTCTTCAAAACTTTCCATTCTCTCCTCTGTCCCCCTCCACCACCTCCTACCACTTCTATAACAGCTGATGATTTTGCCACATTCTTCACAGACAAAACCAGAACAATCAGTAGCCAATTCTCAGCCCCACACACACAGGACTTCAAACCAACCCCACCCACTGCAAAAACTCCCATCTTCTCCTTCTGTCCCCTCACTGAGACAGAAGAGAACTAATGTCTAAGAACTTGGTATTACAACCACTTCTTGTATCTGTTTGCCTCTTTAAGAAGAATCGCTTTATGTATCCCCCAATTGTAAGTCGCTTTGGATAAAAGCGTCTGCTAAATGACTAAATGTAAATGTAATTAATGACAGAATTTTCATTTTTGGGTGAACTAACCCTTTAAGCGCTGCATTTGACTTAGTCGACCACAACATTCTTCTGTCATGCCTGGATTGCATCATGGTTGGACCATTGTATTAGTACTTCATGGTACTAATCGAGGACTTTGTGGTATGGTTTTAAAGTGGTTTCGCTCTTATTGGTCAAATAGGTGTTTTACTGTTCAAATAGGGCATTGCGTTTCTACTGACATTCCTCTCGGTTGTGGTGTTCCGCAAGGTTCGATCCTTGGGCCTGTGTTGTTTTCAATGTATTTGCTCCCCTTGGCTTCTATTTTTGAAAAATATTGTGTCTCCTTTCATCTATATGCTGATGATACTCAGCTTTATCTTCCCCTACAGCGTAATAATAAGTATTCTCTTCAACCATTGTTAGATTGTCTAAATTAACTTAAGCTATGGCTTTCGAGCAATTTCTTACACCTGAACAACAAAAAAATCTGAAATTATTTTGTTTGGTCCTAAGCAAAATGTTGCTTTTAATTTTGATCTTGGCTTCCTCACTCCATATAATACACAGTGTGCCAGGAACTTGGGCATTTTATTTGACTTAGTTTGATAGACAGATTACAGCTGTAGTTAAGTCATGTTTTTACCAACTTCGTTTTCTCAGTAAAGTCAAGCCCTCCCTATCTAGAAAAAATCTTGAAATAGCTATCCATGCCTTTATAACATCTCGGCTTGATTACTGTAACTCTTTGTATTTTGGTATATCTCAGTTTTCAATTTCTCGTCTTCGGTTAGTTCAGAATGCAGCCACTAGACTGCTTGACAGGAAGCGAAAATATGAACATATTACTCCTATTTTAATGTCCCTACACTGGCTTCCTGTCAAGTATAGGATTGATTTTAAATCTTATTATTTGTTTACAAAGCCCTCAATAAACTGGCTTCTCAATACTTAATGGATTTGCTGCTTCCGTATACCCCGTCTAGAACCTTGAGATCATGTGACCTTGGCCTACTCAAGAGTAATAATAAAAAGTGTGGTGATCGCGCCTTCGCTACTGCAGGACCAAAGCTTTGGAATAGCCTTCCTCTCTTTATCAGACGTGCCCCATCTATTAGTATTTTTAAATCATATCTAAAGACATATATTTTTTTCACCCTGGCTTATAACACTCCTTAGTGTGTTTCCTGGGTTTTTTACTGTACTGCTGATTTTATTTGTCTGTTGATTTCCTTGTTACCCTTTTATTTTATTTGCATTTTATTCTTTGTAAAGCACTTTGGTCAACCTCGGTTGTGTTTAAATGTGCTCTATAATAAACGTTGTTGTTGTTTAACAGAATACATTAGATTATTCCTAAAGAACTCCTTTATGATATGTCTAATCAGCCATTCTGTCTGGAACCATTTATCACTTTTTAGATAATTCTGCACAATCTGCAGCTGTTACCTGGATGGGAGGAATTTTTAATCAGGACTACGATTTTAAACTAAATTAACTTTTTTCCCCTGGTTTTTTTTATGTCATAAATTGTATATGACAGGATTATTTATTATGTAGCCTATGAATGGTAAATTATTAAATAACATTAATCATTTTAATAACATTCTAATAATAAAAGATTTATAATCTTTATAACCTACCATACTAATATCTATCTAATATTAATTAATGATCTGTCAAATAATGTCTAAAAATATAATAATTATCTGTCTACCAAACGCTGATAATGTATGGAAAATTATATTAATTTATATATTAAACAAATAATAAAACGTCTCAGGTTACGTATGTAACCATGGTTCCCTGAGTAGGGAACGAGACACTGAGTCCTATAGGGGTCGCTATGGGGAACGCCTTGATGTGGAAGAAAAGTTTAGGTTCCTTGTCCTTCTAGCTTGTTTAGTTGGAGTCTGAAAGTCACCTAACTTTTAGAAATGTATCGATATGACTGCACTGACTAACACCATTGGATGAGAACAAAGCTTGAACTGAATTAAGCTGCACTATCATCTTCTGAAGAGCTGCTTTACAGCTGAATTGCATCCTGCAACATCGAGACTGTATAAAGTATAAAGCACTATAAGACTAAAGGTGACTTGATTTGGCTTATTTTGTGGTGTACTGTCATATGTTTTCCCTGTGTTTTCCTCTGGCTCCTGGAAGCTGATCACTGAATCTGAGAAACGCTTTCCAGAGTGCTGTCTTTGTACTCCTCCACAGCTTTTTTGTTGAAACTGTTGTGTATTCTTATGGTTGAGTGTGAGTTTGTTTGAATTGCTCTATAATCTGAGGTAATGTTAACTCATTTACTATAATAGTGACTCCAAAACATAACTTGTCATACATGTTAATGTTTGCAACTTAATTTATCATTTTGAAGATGTTTGTTTCTACCTTTTATGGTAGCTGTAGGAGAGCAGTTTGTCTCCTGAATCTCCGGGGTGATTGTAGCTCAGATCCAGCTCTCTCAGGTGTGAGGGGTTTGAAGTCAGTGCCAAAGACACATAATGACAGCCTTCCTCTGTCACCATACAGCCAGACAACCTACAAAAACATACAGCAACAGTCCACATCACATTAGTTTGATTGTTGCGTACATTATATGTTGTATAATTTTTGTATTGAACTGATTATTCAATAAACAAAAAAAGATAATTTTACGCTCATTTTACATTATCAGAAAGAAACAAATATTCCCCCAAATAATTGGACATTATACAGCTTGCATTTAAATGCAAAACTAAATAAGGCGTTAGATCGCTCATGCAGACAATAGTGGCACAATACTGCTCCTGAAATCTTATGTAAAAAAAAATAGTGAATGAAGGATGACAAAGATAAGATTTAAATACAAAAATTCTAACTTCATGTTCTAAAATGAAATAAGAAGCTGCTTGCAGATTCTCAGTCACACTTGTAAACACAACACTGTGGTCCAGAAGCTGTTAATCAAAAACTCACTATCCAGTGAGAATCTGCTGCTAACCCCACCCACATGAGAGATTTGCACCAAAATGACACAATTTTTTTTTTTTTTTCCAGTTTCAAATAGTTTTTAATTAATTATCAATTTATATTTTTGCTAGTTTATTGCAGTGGTTCTCAAGTCTTTTTTACTTCAAATCCCCCCTCCTTTCTGAATCAATACTGCAAGACCCCCAATCTTTTATATTCACAAAACCTTTTGTATTCTGTATTACTTTTCAATTCCATGTTATTATTTTTAATGAAAATAAATTTTAGATAGATTTAAACCTTTAGTGTTCTTTTTGGCAAACACTCTTTGCAAAAATGTCACTGCAGACATTATTTACTGACATTAAGGGGGGTGCCCACCAGATGACCCCAATGAAGTGATTACCCCTTACTCTCCACTCAAGATGTCAACAAAGTGCCAATTATTCTAAGTGATTGTACTATCAAGACCTACATGCTCAACTGATAAGTTGGAGAAATCCAGTGACTACTGTGAAAGTACAGTTGACAGCTGACAGGAGGAAAGACTCCAACGGGGCTGTCATGGACTAGCTATCCATGACGGCAGGCTCCGTCGCTTTGATTAGTGAATAAGAGTCACCCCATATGGCTACAAAAAATTCAAAACGAAAAATACCCCTTGAGTCTGCGAGAGAGGGAGTGGAAGATGACTCATCGATTGACAACTCGGTAATTGACCCTGGCATGAACACGACGATAAATCAGATAATCGGCATGGCACCTACAGGATCAGCTGTGAGACAAGAACTCCAAATATGCAGCTGCGGCTGGTCCAAGGTAACATCTATCAGCGGCCAAAAAAGACATCAAGGACAGATAAAGTGCTTGAAGGAGGTGAGGCCGGGAACTAGCATTGATACTTACCTCTCGAGGAAAAGATCAAATCATTCGAATGAAGCTCAGTGGCAGGACACATCCCACAGTCCATTGAGCATCAGTACCCCAGTGGCTGAGGAGGGTAGTTTGAGCACAACTTCTAAGAACCTGGAACCCAACCAGATGCAGCTTGCTACGGAGAAGAATATCCAAGGCTACAGACCTCAAGTGAAGTAGCCAAAGTCCTGCAGCAAGAAAGAGTGGACAAGTCAATGCAGACCTGAGTAAGATCCTGAATGAACTCAGAGGAACAGCAGAGAAGAAGCTGGATAAAATGAGCGATCTGATCTACTCATACGGGGTGGAAAGATTCGGATTAAAAGAGAGAGGATAGAAGGAAACAACAACCCCTCCCAAGTCCAGAAGGCAGCAAGAAATCATGTGCCTGGTCAAAGAGAGAAGGGATTTGAGAAAACAGTGGAAGGAATCCTCACCAGAACAAAGAGCTGGCATAAACATTCTGCAAGCAGATCTAAAGGAACGCCTGGGAAGACTGCAGAGAGCAGAAAACATCAGAACCCGATGCAAGAAGGAGAGGGCAAGAACATCCTTCTGCAAAGATCCCTTCAGATTTGTGAAAGCTCTCTTTACAAAGGAAAAGAGTGGGTCACTTAAAGTGTCAAAGAAGGAGATGGAAGACCACTTGAAAGCAACACACACAGACAGCCAGAGATATGAGCAGAGGGTGATACCACCAGACATGCCACCCATTCCTCAGCCAGAACATCAACTGGATGACAGCCCTCCAAGGTGGAGCGAGGTTGAGAAAACTGTGAGAAAGGCAAGGGCAGCTTCAGCTCCCGGACCAAACGGAGTTCCTTACCGGCTGTACAAGAATGCTCCAGAGGTTCTTCGGTTCCTGTGGAGGCAAATGAAAGTGGCTTGGAAAAAGCAAACAATCCCAAAAACATGGTGAAGAGCAGGGGGAGTGCTAATCCCAAAGGAAAAGGATGCCTTGAACGTCAACCAATTTCGTCAAATCAATCTCTTGAATGTTGAAGGATAAATATTCTTTAGCATCGTTGCTCAAAGGATGACAACATACCTGAAACAGAACAACTTGATTGATACGTCGATACAGAAAGCTGGTATACCAGGCTTCTCGGGATGCTTAGAACATACTAGTATGATATGGCATCAAATCCAGTCTGCAAAAAGGGAAGGATGAGATCTGCATATCTTATTCCTGGACTTCAATACTTCAAAGATCTGCAATTCTGCCTTACAACAACAGAGTATACCACATCGTGGCAATCATTGGAAGTGGGAATAATGGCAGGGTGTACCATCTTCCCCCTAACCTTTACCATGGCAATGGAATTGATCATTCGAGCTTCCAAATGGGGAGTAGGAGGAGAACGTCTGCAGGCTGGACAGCGTCTTCCTCCTATTCGTGCCTACACGGATGACATGATGACCTTGACCTCAACCATTGCATGTACCAAACGTCTACTGGTAAAGCTTCATGCCAACATAACATGGACGCGTATGAAGTTAAAACCCAGTAAATCTAGAAGCATATCCATTGTCAGAGGGAAACTCGTATACCAGAGATTCCACATCGATGAAACACCCATTCCAACGGTGTTGGAGATGCCAGTCAAGAGCTTAGGGCAATGGTACAATGCAAGCCTCAAGGACTCAGATCAGAGTGACCAACTGAGGGAAGAAACCATTAAAGGCCTTGACAGTATAAATAATGCCTTGCTTCCTGGCAAGCTGAAACTTTGGTGCCTGCAATTCGGCTTGCTCCCTTGTCTAATGTAGCCTCTAACAGTCTACGAGGTCCCCATTACCAAAATTATCGGACAGGTGCAGCAGGGAAGAGGGGGTTTTTGACTTGGGGCAAGCCGACCCATATGGTACAAACAACATCCGCCCAGAGGAGAAAACTGATAGTTGCAGAGGTCTGGCAGCAAGAGGAGGCAGAGAGATGCACAAAGGCTGTCTCCCAGTCCAAACTGGGACACTAACTGGGAAAATCTGGAGCAACATAAACTCACCTGGAAGGATCTTTGAAGGAGCTTCATCATCAGAGCCACCTACCATGTTCTCCCCACACCCAAGAACCTAAACCTGTGGATTGGAGAAGATCCATCATGTCCTCTCTGTCAAACCCCAGCAATGCTAAGGCATATCCTCGTCGGCTGTAAAACCAAGGTCTTTCCCAAGGATGTTACACCTGGCACAATCAGGTTCTGAGACAACTGGCCATTATCCTGGAGGGAAGGAGAACCACCACCAATGGCCTCCCTCCTCCAATGCCTGTATTCTCAAAAGCCACCGCCTTCGTAAGAGCAGGACAGCTTCTAGTAAAACCAACTACAAAAATGGAAACAACCCTGCTGGACACTGCCCGGGACTGGAAAATGTAGGTTGATCTGGACCAGAAGCTCAGCTTTCCACCTGAGATAATTACAACTTACCTCAGCCCAGACCTAATAATGTGGTCGACCTCACAAAAGTCCTTGTTCATCGTGGAACTAACTGTGCCATGGGAGGCTGCAATTGGTGAAGCAAATTAACGTAAAAAGCTGAAGTATTCAGACCTATTAGCCGAAGCAGTACAACGAAGCAGCCACGGCAACAACCAGGTTACTGAAGGGGTTGGGAGTCAGAGGACAGGCCTTACGTCAAGCCGTTAAGTCGCTGTCAAATGCTGCTGAGCGAAGTAGCAACTGGCTGTGGCTAAAAAGGAAGGATCCCAAATGGGCTGCAAAATGACCTAGATGGGTAAAAGCAAAGGGGAGCGTACCTGGGACACCAGGTGTTGCTGTTGAGCCCTTTGGAGGTGCCATGGGCCTATCAATGAAGTGATTACCTCTACTCTCCACTCAAGATGTCAACAAAGTGCCGATTATTCTAAGGGATTGTACTATCAAGTCCTACACACTCAACAACTTAAAAGTACCTAAAAGTATGTAAAACTCAATAATACAGTGACTTTAACAAATAAGCACAAGTCAGCTGTACCAAACAAGACCACAGGGAGATGCCAAAGGACTGCATAATACTGCTACTATACGGATCCATTCAGAATCGCTAAACACACCAAAATACAAATGAAAAGTAAAAACATTCTGAATTCATGAAAACTCCGTGATCTGAAGGCGGCTCGATGTCGTCTTCATCAGTGAACAATTCCTATGTCAGAAAAAGCAATCATGTCTGTGTTTTTATGCGTCTGATGCCCATATGTATAAACATCACTGATCCTCAAAAACTTATCCAAAACAAGTGAGCATCCTTTATAAAACACTAGCTGTACATTAATTTTGACAACTACGTGAATATACTGAACTGTGTGTTCAAGCAGAAATATGATGTTATAGTGATCAGTGCCCCAAGAGCACACATACATTGTTCATTTGCACAGGGTGGATTTAGTGATTTGGGGGGCCCAGGCAAAATATAGGAATGGGGCCCTATAAATTAGCACACATTTACCTGGATCAAATTGAGGTTTCATTCTCTGTTGTGATGCTTGCTGGTGCACAATTTGCCCCATAGTCTTGCCAAATAATTCTAAATTTTTCATGTACGTTACAACCCAAATTCCAAAAAAGTTGGGACATTTTATAAAATGCAATAAAATTCAAAAATACAAAGAAAAGATTCCCAGTAGGGCCTTTCGCACCACTTTAATTCCAGAACTAAATGTACAGTACTAAAGTACTGGGATGATTTTGCGGGAACTATTTCCCAGTACTATTTAAAGGGTTGCATTCGCACTGAGAGTGTGTACTAAGAAGTGAAGTAAGCCGGTCGACAGCGACGTCATTTGTGTGCGGCGTTCAACAACCGAAACAAAGAAGAACAACATTAACAACAGGAGGATGGAGGACGCTGTGATCGGAGCTGTGTTTTTGTTGTGTCTCGCAGAGTTGTGGGTTTCACAATAATGGACATGGAAAGTCGACGTATACGTAAAGCGATTAAAAGAACGGAAAGGAGGACTAAGAGTCTCCAACGACAACTGGCAGTGCTACAATTGCTACAAGTGCCTGCACTTCAGCGTCCGTCCATCCATCGCTGTTCTCCATACTTGCGAAATAAGTTGACACAATGTTTACAGTATGTTTACACTGCGTTTTAAATCATGGCGGGTGAGGGCGTTTTCGTATGCGTTTGGCCAATCAGTGTCTACTTACGTCACGATTAGTACCAGTTGTGCTGGTTAGACCCTGCTCCGGAGTAGGAGCTAATTTGGTTCTCGAAAAAGGCAGTCCGGTACTAAAATCGCACCCAGTTCCGGCGGTGCGAAAACGCCAAAAAGTGGGTAGTTCCACAATTAGTTCTGGTACTATGAAAAGGTTCCAGCGGTGGGAAAGGCCCTAATGTTTTCACTGCAACACACTCCAAAAATGTTGGGACAGAGACAAAATAAAAATGAAAAGATTCTAGAATATCCATGTTAAACTGTTTTTAAACTGTTCACAATACGCAGGTGAATTGGTAATAGGTGAGGGGATCGTGATTAGGTGTAAAAGGAGCATCTCAGTCTTTGCCAGAAAAGCTGGATCATGGCTCATCACTTTGTACCAAATTTCATGACAGAATTGTCAGACAAATCAAAACTCAAACAATTTAGGTCTTTCACCAACTACCATACCTAATATTGTGAAAAGATTAAGGGAATCCAGAGAAATCTCAGTACAAGTAGCGCAAGGCAGGAATCCTACTGTGAGCTACTCTGTTAAATACCGCCACGTGTGCTCGAGAGTACTTTTGGAAGACCATTGTCACTTAACACAGTCTGCCACTGCATCAAGAAATGCAACTTGAATCTATGTTACTCTAGGAATAAACTATACATCAATCCTATGCAGTGATGTCGCTGGGTTGTTTGAGCCGGAGCTCATTTCAGATAATCAAAAAAAAAAACAGTTGAAATGTGTGCTGTATTTAGATGAGTCCACATTTCAGCTTGTTTTTGGGAAAAAAGGACAATGAGTTCTCAGTCCCAAAGACCAAAGTGACCATCCAGACTTTCATTAGTGACAGATGCAAAAGCAAACAACTGTCATGGTATATGGGTCCATCAGTGTAAACGGCATGGGTGACTGGAATATGTGCGTAGGTACCATTGACATGGAGGCATATATTGGGATTGTACAGACATGTACTGCCATCAATATAGGGATGTAACGATTACTGGTTTGACGATAAATCGTGATAAAACACCCCACGGTTAGTATTACCATTTCATATTTTAATTATCACTATAACCATATTCGATTACCGCGATTTGAACAACTGAGGACAAATAAATACTGGACTGCACAGGGCTCCAGTGTGCGACCAAATGGGCGCATTTTGCGATAATTTTTTCTGCCGGAATTTTGTGTGTGGATAGTGAATTGGTGGGTTTTTGTTAAATGTGAGCCAAAATCATCACAATTAAAAGAACCAAAGACTTAAACTACTTCAGTCTGTGTGCATTGAATTTATTTAATACACGAGTTTCACAATTTGAGTTGAATTACTGAAATAAATGAACTTTTCCACGACATTCTAATTTATTGAGATGCACCTGTAGTGCTGCTAGCTTGTTCAGTGCTGTCAGAAGCTATTTTAAATATGCTTTGCAGTTTGTTTAGTTATTGTTTCAGGTAATTTTGCCATTTCAATCTCATTACAAACCACATCTACAGACATCTGTAGAAATACGGGGGGGGGGAAATGCCTGCAAATGATGTCTTTAGTTCTGGCATTCCACTGAGAGCAGATGGCCTAATTGTGGTAGCATTTTGTTAATTATTTAATGTAAAACCAATTACCTCAGTATTTCCAGCTGACAGTTTGGACTCTTCAGTCCTTCAGAAAGAACCTTTACTCCTGAATCCTGCAGGTCATTGTTACTCAAGTCCAGCTCTCTCAGGACAGAGTTTGATGATTGTAATACCGATGACAAAATCCCACAAGACTGAGCGGTGAGATTACAGATGGAAAATCTGAAAAGAAAAACACAATAATTGCATACAGATAGCATAAATAAATCTTAACAGTGTGATTTTTAGTAATTAACTTCCAAAAAAAAGAATCAAATATTTGAAACTCAAACCTCAATATCTCCAGCTTAGAGTTTGGACTCTTCAGTCCGTCAGAAAGACGCTTCACTCCAGGATCATGAAGGTCATTGTTACTCAGGTCCAGCTCTCTCAGGACAGAGTTTGAGGATTGTAGAGCTGATGACAAACTTTCACAAGACTGAGCTCTGAGATTACACCCACACAGCCTGTGAAGAGAACACAAGGGATGGGGATGGAGTAAAACTCTGCAAGACAGTTGCCCATCCTTCAATATAGTATGGATTTTTCATGTTACCTACAATGAAACTTGTGTTGCTTGCATGTCATTTATGAATCCTCTCCCAAGGCCTCATGGGATTGTAAACAGGGGTGTGAAGTAACAAATTACAAAAATTTTACTTGTTAAAATTTGTGTACTTTTACTTAAGTACATTTTAAGTGATGTATCTGTACTTTTACTCCACTATTTTCCTATTTTCCCTGTTTGTTACATGCTTGTATTAATTTTATTTTTATCCAGCAGCGTGATTGAATAGAGAGAGAGTAATCGGTCTCGTGACTCTCGTCAAATCAAATTGTTCAAATAAAACTTCAACTGCCGATCATGGCTGCTGGAAGTGCATTCTTCAAGCATCAATTCAGTCAAGTTATCAGCATCTTCCTGTAATATGTTAAGGTAAATTTCTGATTTCTGCTTACTAAATGATCTGTATATATGCTTGCCTACAGGGCCTGAAGTTTGGTGTGAGATTGTGGGTACTGAATACAATGTTAATAACTCCACATAATAAGTGCCAAATTCATAATGCGGTAAAAACACCGCATATACACATTTTTTATATGGGGTGAGGGAAAACCAGCTCATTTGCATTTAAAGGCGCACACACAGAAACAGCTTGTTTATATTCTAACCCAAAAATTGCCATTTTCAACATGGTATAATAAATTATCTGCGGGGTATTTTGAGCTGAAACTTCACAGACACATTCTGGGGACACCAGAGACTTATATTAAATCTTGTAAAAAGGGGCATAATAGGTACTCTTTAAGTTTGGTTAGATTTGGGAAAGGGGAGCGCTTTCTGCGCATGTGCGAGGCACGCGCTCACAATGTGACCAATGCCATTTTCTCCCGCTGCTAGAAGGACCGTTACGGCAGATTCTCTTGTTTTTAGATATTCTTTCTTGTTAATTATTCGCTTTTTTGTAAGTAACGTTGATAAAGGAATGTGTATATCATAATGTTGAATGAAATATGTTGGGTAAAATACAGCGATTTTAGCAAGGTGAATTGCTACAGACGACCTGTCGCTTAAAGCTTATTTACGCATCATTACCTGAATACAATGAATTGCGATGACTCCTTTTAACGTATAAAATTTGCTAGCCCAGGGAACAAATGTTAATAATACAAACTGATTTATGGCTACCAATATTTTTGAGTCTAATGATATATGACTCCTCTGTTCTCCCAGCATCTTTTTTCAACTTTGAAAACTAGTCCACCACATTTTTTTTGTTAAAATGATTTTTTATATAAATATATGTAAAGAATTGATGGTGTAAGTATTCTCTTCCCATTCCAATTTTCTGTGTAATGTGGTTTAGACAATGTTACCAAATAAACTTTTTAAATTAGTATGAAATTAGTTTAATTATGTACAGTGTGTCATATTAAGTGAATATAGAATTGGGGAAAATAAATCCTTGTAAACAAAAGCATCTGTTTTCATATGAGTATTCAAATGCATTTTACATTTCCTCTTTCACATTTTGATGGATATCATTGTGGCATCATCACTAAACATCAATGTGACAGCCTTCTAGTCATAGTAAGTCATGTTTGCTTAAATATTCTTATTTACTTGTGCCATTTAGGATTGTAAATGAGGCAGTCACACCCCTCCACACACAAAAAGTATGATGCCTTATTACAGTGGTCTCAAACTCAATTCCTGGAGGGCCACAGCTCTGCAGAGTTTAGCTCGAACCAGCTCTAAATCACACCCGCGTGGAAGTTTCTAGTAATCCAAAAGACCTTGATTAGCTGGATCAGGTGTGCTGATTTTAATTTTGCAACTTATAAAGTATTAAAATGTGTTTAATTTACATATTAAAACTAGTGTAGGAAATGGCAAATGTAAATTTTATATAATTGAATTTTTAATTTTCATTTTGCACTAAACATTTCACATAGGTATGGGAAAATGCTAATTTAAATACAGAAATACATTGCCATTTTGCATATTACATTTCAAAATGCATTTTGCTACCCGTATGCTTCCATATCTGCAAGGCTATGTGCAGCCATTGGTTTTTGTATATGCCACATATGTTCTTAGCTGCTCACATTTATTTGTTGTACCATAGTTCTGCCCCTCTCAAATGTGACAAAGTTTTTAACAACGTTAATGTAATGACTTGTGATTGATGATATTTGTCTTTGTTATTTACTTTGATTGATGGAGTAATGTGGATTTCTTAACCTGATAAATTAAACGGATTTGTTCAAATAACACAGAGCAATAACATATATTTTTACATCTATGCAATATGTTGCAAATGCATATGCAACATATGTAACTTTAAAAAGTCATAATCAAATAAAGAGAAAGTTATTTAACAATATGTTAAGGACTAGTAACATTTGTACAGTCTTAAGCCCTATTCGCACGGGATTAGTATTACGGGGTGACCTCCAGTCATTTGCAATAATTGCGGAGGTTGTCTGTGATCTTAATCCCGTGCGAATCGGCCATGTCTGTAATTTGTAAAGTAAAAATTCCCCCGCAGATGACCTACCATATTTCGCCAAACACCGAGGTTCTGTGATAATATTAGTCCCGTGCGAATTGGCATCTCTGTGATTCAGCCAGCATTTGGCGGGTCGCATATCATTTTTCGAGGTTTTTGTTTGCTGTGCGCCTTTTTATCCATCTTTCGCGAAGAATGGAGCTGCGTTGGAGTGTTTGATAGTATTTTGGGTGCTGTCATCATATCGCTACACCATACAATTTGCAGAAAGAGAAAGCTGAAAAGGTTTTGAGGTTAATGTGTTACAAATAAATCAAGCATAAAGCTTGAGATATTATTTAAACCTGGTGAAATGTAAATGACACTGCGCACGAAACTATATTAGTTTCTTTATTTTTTTATCCATCTGGACCATAGAACGGGACTCTCAAAGTCAGTCAATTTGAGTAAAATCACAGGCTTCGATGTGGGGAAAATCACACAAAGTCCCCAGATAATACTAATCCCGTGCGAATAGGGCTTTACAATTACAACCGGCCCTTTCAGGGCAGCCATAATGCTGAAGTGGCCCTCAGTGAAAATGAGTTTGACACCTAGATCATTTTCTAATGGATTTATGTTTAAATTGTAACATAAATTATCATGTTTACTGATTCTCATTTCTTTATCACCAAATGCTAAAACTGGCACAGTTTGGAGAGAAATGTACTCTCTTTTTTTATTGTTTGCCCACAGAATCAAATAACATTAACAGTATTACATCATATATTTGTCACAGTATTCTGCTGGTGTGCCCTAGATGACCACCAGAGGACACTGTTTTGTGTGAGCACATGGCTTGTTGTGTGTTTGTTGGTGCCATGTGCTCTCCTGTCTTATTGTCTGTCCCCTCCCATCTTGTTACCTCATTTTTGTTTCAGTTGCTCCTCGTTTGTCTCCCTATTTATTCTCCTGGTGTCTGCAGTCCTGTGCTGATCCGTTGTTTTACATCAGTGTTACTTGTGGTGTGGGTAATGTCTACCCATATTGCTGTTTCCTGCCTTGCAGTGTTGTGCTTTGTCCCAAGCCTGCCTGTTTTTCCCCCTCGGGGTAGTTTTAGTTTGTTTTGTTTCATTTTATTATTAAAAAGTACAATTCTTCTCCTGCATTTGAGTCCACGCCTCATCACTCTCCGGTACCATGACAAAAACAGCCCTGGGAAAGCATAAGCCTATGGCGTATACATGCATGGACATAATTACACCACTCATCTAATAGAACTAGAAGAGAGATGTAGCCACAATCAGATGGCAAAAGCAGGTCATGTAATTATAATAAGCAGTTTATGACATTTCCAGAAGAGGCCTGTGCCTGTGCAATAGGGTGACCATTCGTCCTCTTTTTCCCATACATGTACTCTTTTCGAACCTAAAAAAAATGTGTCCAGCCATGATTTCTAAATTGCCCAAAATGTCCGGGGTTCAGCCATTCATTGTGAGTTTTTGCATATTCTAATTTATTGAGATGCACCTGTAGTGCTGCTAGCTTGTTCAGTGCTGTCAGAAGCTATTTTAAATATGCTTTGCAGTTTGTTTAGTTATTGTTTCAGGTAATTTTGCCATTTCAATCTCATTACAAACCACATCTACAGACATCTGTAGAAATACGGGGGGGGGGAAATGCCTGCAAATGATGTCTTTAGTTCTGGCATTCCACTGAGAGCAGATGGCCTAATTGTGGTAGCATTTTGTTAATTATTTAATGTAAAACCAATTACCTCAGTATTTCCAGCTGACAGTTTGGACTCTTCAGTCCTTCAGAAAGAACCTTTACTCCTGAATCCTGCAGGTCATTGTTACTCAAGTCCAGCTCTCTCAGGACAGAGTTTGATGATTGTAATACCGATGACAAAATCCCACAAGACTGAGCGGTGAGATTACAGATGGAAAATCTGAAAAGAAAAACACAATAATTGCATACAGATAGCATAAATAAATCTTAACAGTGTGATTTTTAGTAATTAACTTCCAAAAAAAAGAATCAAATATTTGAAACTCAAACCTCAATATCTCCAGCTTAGAGTTTGGACTCTTCAGTCCGTCAGAAAGACGCTTCACTCCAGGATCATGAAGGTCATTGTTACTCAGGTCCAGCTCTCTCAGGACAGAGTTTGAGGATTGTAGAGCTGATGACAAACTTTCACAAGACTGAGCTCTGAGATTACACCCACACAGCCTGTGAAGAGAACACAAGGGATGGGGATGGAGTAAAACTCTGCAAGACAGTTGCCCATCCTTCAATATAGTATGGATTTTTCATGTTACCTACAATGAAACTTGTGTTGCTTGCATGTCATTTATGAATCCTCTCCCAAGGCCTCATGGGATTGTAAACAGGGGTGTGAAGTAACAAATTACAAATACTCACGTTACTGTAATTAAGTCGTTTTTTTTTATCAGAAATTTTACTTTTTGAGTAGTTAAAATTTGTGTACTTTTACTTAAGTACATTTTAAGTGATGTATCTGTACTTTTACTCCACTATTTTCCCTCCGTTTGTGTTTGTTACATGCTTGTATTAATTTTATTTTTATCCAGCAGCGTGATTGAATAGAGAGAGAGTAATCGGTCTCGTGACTCTCGTCAAATCAAATTGTTCAAATAAAACTTCAACTGCCGATCATGGCTGCTGGAAGTGCATTCTTCAAGCATCAATTCAGTCAAGTTATCAGCATCTTCCTGTAATATGTTAAGGTAAATTTCTGATTTCTGCTTACTAAATGATCTGTATATATGCTTGCCTACAGGGCCTGAAGTTTGGTGTGAGATTGTGGGTACTGAATACAATGTTAATAACTCCACATAATAAGTGCCAAATTCATAATGCGGTAAAAACACCGCATATACACATTTTTTATATGGGGTGAGGGAAAACCAGCTCATTTGCATTTAAAGGCGCACACACAGAAACAGCTTGTTTATATTCTAACCCAAAAATTGCCATTTTCAACATGGTATAATAAATTATCTGCGGGGTATTTTGAGCTGAAACTTCACAGACACATTCTGGGGACACCAGAGACTTATATTAAATCTTGTAAAAAGGGGCATAATAGGTACTCTTTAAGTTTGGTTAGATTTGGGAAAGGGGAGCGCTTTCTGCGCATGTGCGAGGCACGCGCTCACAATGTGACCAATGCCATTTTCTCCCGCTGCTAGAAGGACCGTTACGGCGGATTCTCTTGTTTTTAGATATTCTTTCTTGTTAATTATTCGCTTTTTTGTAAGTAACGTTGATAAAGGAATGTGTATATCATAATGTTGAATGAAATATGTTGGGTAAAATACAGCGATTTTAGCAAGGTGAATTGCTACAGACGACCTGTCGCTTAAAGCTTATTTACGCATCATTACCTGAATACAATGAATTGCGATGACTCCTTTTAACGTATAAAATTTGCTAGCCCAGGGAACAAATGTTAATAATACAAACTGATTTATGGCTACCAATATTTTTGAGTCTAATGATATATGACTCCTCTGTTCTCCCAGCATCTTTTTTCAACTTTGAAAACTAGTCCACCACATTTTTTTTGTTAAAATGATTTTTTATATAAATATATGTAAAGAATTGATGGTGTAAGTATTCTCTTCCCATTCCAATTTTCTGTGTAATGTGGTTTAGACAATGTTACCAAATAAACTTTTTAAATTAGTATGAAATTAGTTTAATTATGTACAGTGTGTCATATTAAGTGAATATAGAATTGGGGAAAATAAATCCTTGTAAACAAAAGCATCTGTTTTCATATGAGTATTCAAATGCATTTTACATTTCCTCTTTCACATTTTGATGGATATCATTGTGGCATCATCACTAAACATCAATGTGACAGCCTTCTAGTCATAGTAAGTCATGTTTGCTTAAATATTCTTATTTACTTGTGCCATTTAGGATTGTAAATGAGGCAGTCACACCCCTCCACACACAAAAAGTATGATGCCTTATTACAGTGGTCTCAAACTCAATTCCTGGAGGGCCACAGCTCTGCAGAGTTTAGCTCGAACCAGCTCTAAATCACACCCGCGTGGAAGTTTCTAGTAATCCAAAAGACCTTGATTAGCTGGATCAGGTGTGCTGATTTTAATTTTGCAACTTATAAAGTATTAAAATGTGTTTAATTTACATATTAAAACTAGTGTAGGAAATGGCAAATGTAAATTTTATATAATTGAATTTTTAATTTTCATTTTGCACTAAACATTTCACATAGGTATGGGAAAATGCTAATTTAAATACAGAAATACATTGCCATTTTGCATATTACATTTCAAAATGCATTTTGCTACCCGTATGCTTCCATATCTGCAAGGCTATGTGCAGCCATTGGTTTTTGTATATGCCACATATGTTCTTAGCTGCTCACATTTATTTGTTGTACCATAGTTCTGCCCCTCTCAAATGTGACAAAGTTTTTAACAACGTTAATGTAATGACTTGTGATTGATGATATTTGTCTTTGTTATTTACTTTGATTGATGGAGTAATGTGGATTTCTTAACCTGATAAATTAAACGGATTTGTTCAAATAACACAGAGCAATAACATATATTTTTACATCTATGCAATATGTTGCAAATGCATATGCAACATATGTAACTTTAAAAAGTCATAATCAAATAAAGAGAAAGTTATTTAACAATATGTTAAGGACTAGTAACATTTGTACAGTCTTAAGCCCTATTCGCACGGGATTAGTATTACGGGGTGACCTCCAGTCATTTGCAATAATTGCGGAGGTTGTCTGTGATCTTAATCCCGTGCGAATCGGCCATGTCTGTAATTTGTAAAGTAAAAATTCCCCCGCAGATGACCTACCATATTTCGCCAAACACCGAGGTTCTGTGATAATATTAGTCCCGTGCGAATTGGCATCTCTGTGATTCAGCCAGCATTTGGCGGGTCGCATATCATTTTTCGAGGTTTTTGTTTGCTGTGCGCCTTTTTATCCATCTTTCGCGAAGAATGGAGCTGCGTTGGAGTGTTTGATAGTATTTTGGGTGCTGTCATCATATCGCTACACCATACAATTTGCAGAAAGAGAAAGCTGAAAAGGTTTTGAGGTTAATGTGTTACAAATAAATCAAGCATAAAGCTTGAGATATTATTTAAACCTGGTGAAATGTAAATGACACTGCGCACGAAACTATATTAGTTTCTTTATTTTTTTATCCATCTGGACCATAGAACGGGACTCTCAAAGTCAGTCAATTTGAGTAAAATCACAGGCTTCGATGTGGGGAAAATCACACAAAGTCCCCAGATAATACTAATCCCGTGCGAATAGGGCTTTACAATTACAACCGGCCCTTTCAGGGCAGCCATAATGCTGAAGTGGCCCTCAGTGAAAATGAGTTTGACACCTAGATCATTTTCTAATGGATTTATGTTTAAATTGTAACATAAATTATCATGTTTACTGATTCTCATTTCTTTATCACCAAATGCTAAAACTGGCACAGTTTGGAGAGAAATGTACTCTCTTTTTTTATTGTTTGCCCACAGAATCAAATAACATTAACAGTATTACATCATATATTTGTCACAGTATTCTGCTGGTGTGCCCTAGATGACCACCAGAGGACACTGTTTTGTGTGAGCACATGGCTTGTTGTGTGTTTGTTGGTGCCATGTGCTCTCCTGTCTTATTGTCTGTCCCCTCCCATCTTGTTACCTCATTATTGTTTCAGTTGCTCCACCTGTGTCTCCCTCATTACCTGCCCTACTTAGTCTCCCTGTGTTTGCAGTCCTGTGCTGTTTCGTTACTTCTTGTGTTTGGATGTTGTTCACTGTTTCCCTGATTGCAGTCAGTGACTTGTTTCTTTCTGTGCATTTGCGCTGCCCTGTTTTTGTATCATTTTCCCTATCATGGGTCTTTTGTTTTCTCCTTGTTTTTGTTAATAAATATCCTTATTTAAAGGGTCATGAATGGTTAGTTTTCACCATAGTTTTAAAAAATGCTAAAAAAGTGGGTGTGGTGCACAGCGGAGCAGAGGAGGGGGAAGAAGAGTGACCGACAACACACACACACAGCTTTGCATTCTGACAGTTTCATTTCGCTCCCATAGAGTTAAAAACACATAAATGCACAGCCATTTGCACTCTGCGTTGAAAACATGTATATGAATGCGCTGTTGCACCTCTGAGAACTTTTAAGGCTTATTCTGTGGCGTTTATATAAGCCTTTAGACGGGTTGTGTCACAGAGTTGTAAAAACGGTTATGCTCACCAAGTGAATGAATCGCGTTTGTGTCGAACTCTTATTACAAAGCAAAAACAAACACTCTTCTTCAATCCATGAACGTTTCTCTCAGTTATTGTGCGCGATGTCATCTCACAGTCTGAAACGTCTGTCATAGCAAATCAACACATGCTGTTGTGAATAATTAAGCGAAGCGTCTTCTCATAGGATAAGAACACGCAGTCTCATGAATAATTTAATAGACACCGACGTGTCATTGATGTACTATTAGTCCATTGACACGTCACAAATTGTGATGTCAACACAATGTAGATTTTAAACCCGGAAGATGAAAATAGCGCAAAAAGCTTAAAATGAACCCGTTTTCTCCAACAGTTAAAATTATCGGATGCTAACATTGTCTTCTAGGATGTGCAACACAAACACCTCTGCTAAAATCTCAGAAAAAGTAGTCTGGGGTTTCATGACCCTTTAAGCTCCCCGGATGTTCTGCGTTTGGGTTCTGTTTGCACTTCGTGACAATATTCATGTTACAGAATGTGCAAAACCCTAAAGATAGGAAGTAAAAATGAATGGAAAAGCACAAAGAAAAAAACAGTCTTATAACAGGAAATTAAAAACAGTCTTATATGTACATCAAGAGAGCTCTTTTATGTATTCCCAAAGGGGAGAGCATATCAGCCAGAATTTGTCAGATTTTTGATGTTTATCATAAGTTAAATGACATTTTGAAAGATGGAGCCTGTGATGCAGACCAAAGTAACAAAATGCATTTTTTTAGCAAAATATACCAGGACAGTAAATAACTGTATTGCATCTTTTTTAAAACAAACTATTCACATTAAGATTCAATAAATACAACGCTGGGGTCATATCAAAGTTTAGTTTAAGAAGATCTTTCAGTATCCTATGTATTTTCTTCCAATATGGCAAATTTTTTCACCATACCAAAATCAATGAATGAATGTACATTTCTTTTTTACATTTAATTTTAAACACAGGCCTGTGGCATTGACAAACATCTTCTTAATACGCATCGGTGTAAGATATATCCTATTAAAAATTTTAAAGTTGAGCTCATGGATCCCAAGAGAAGTACATTTCGGATGCATATTATCACATAAAATAGCCCAATCATTCTCTTCAATGGTTTGACCAATATCCTTCTCCCAAACACCCTTCAGTCCCGGCAAGGCAAAAGTGCAATTACTAGACAAGATGTCATATGCCCTTGATATTAATCCCTTTAAACACATTGGATTCAGTAAAAGGTCTTCTATCTCTGTTGTTTCGGTTCTTAACTCTTCTTTGTCTATCTTTGGTTTTAAAAAATGCCGCAATTTGAAGATATTTGTAAAAATGGGAATTTGGAACTTTATATTGCTCTACAATCTGCTGGAAAGACTTTAGGGTGCCCTCTGAAAATAAACAAGATGTTTTAGAGATCCCCAGGCTGTGTTCGAAATGGCATACTTGCTTACTGCAGTATCAAATTATTTTAAAAGGAAATGATTCACCTGGACACCAAAATGTGCATGTCATGTCACTGTCCCATATATAACATCTGCTTTTTTTATTATTAAATTATATTTTAAAACCCCCCTTTTTTTTTTACTATGTCTGCTTGAGGGAAAAAATTCCCATTGACATCCTCATAATCCACTCTCTATGGAAGCCCGTTTCCGCCACTGAATAAAAAATAAAAGAGGTAATTGTGACTTTTTATCTCACAATTCTGCCTTTTTTTCTCAGAATTGCGTGATATAAATTCACAATTGCGAGTTATAAAGTCAGAATTGTGAGATATAAACTTGCAATTCTGAGAACATATCAGTCTTGGACTTTAACTCGCAATTGCGAGTTTATATCACGCAATTCTGGCTTTATAACTCGCAATTGCGAGTTTAGATCTCACAATTATGAGAAATAAAGTCAGAATTGTGAGAAACAAAGTCAGAATTGTGAGAAACAAAGTCAGAATTGTGAGATCTAAACTTGCAATTGCGAGAAAAAAAGTCAGAATTGCGAGTTTTTATCTCGCACTTGTGAGTTTATATCTTGCAATTGCGAGTTTAGATCTCACAATTCTGTGAAAATACAGCTGTAGAAGATTTTTGTCCGATTTTTTTTCACACTCAAATAAGTTCTACTGTATGGTTCAGAAATCAGTTAAAGTGATAAGGAAATTTAGATATGATTTAATTCTCATAATTGAAAAACTGCATCGTAAAATTCCAGGTTTTCCAGGATGCTTGAAGAACCCTGACTGTTTTCTCATCAGGTTTTTGAGTAGGCATTGCCCGCCTTGTGTTCTTGAAGAAAATCCCACTGATACAATCATACTACAATATAGAGAGGGGGAAATATCTGCTAGCTATAGCTATGAAACACCTGTTTATCCACATATTTGAACATAGTGATTCAGTGAATGTGAATGTCAAACCTTAGTATGTTCAGTCGACAGTGTGAACTCTTCAGTCCATCAGAGAGCAGCTTCACTCCTGAATCCCTCAGGTGATTGCTACTCAGGTCCAGCTCTGTCAGATGGGAGTTTGACAATTGTAGAGCAGAAGACACAGTTTCACAGCATGTTTTATCAAGACCACAGCCATCAAATCTGCCAAAACAAAATGTTTAGCCAGATTATTTTTCTGCAATAACAGGAAAATATTTCAAAAATAGTATGACATTTAATTGTTTAGTGATGTAGAAAAAAAACATTTAATCGAATAGCAGTCAGTGAAATTACTAACAGGGCTTTTCTGCAGCATCTCACAGCTGGAACGAGTCTCTTGTAGTCTTCTTGTTTTGATGTGAACCTCTTGGGGTTGAACACATCCAGCACCTTCTCTGAGTTCAGCAGTATGTAGGTCAGCACTGTGCACATTGAAGATGAGAGTTTTCTACCTGGATGTTCATCTGAATTGAGGTAACTCTGGATTTCCTCATATAACGAGTGATCCTTGAGCTCAAGTAAGCAGTAGAATAGGTTGACTGAAGTTTCATCTGAGATATCATTCTTGTTTTGTTCTTGTTTAATGTATTTAGTTGTTTGTCTGATGCTCTCTGTGGTGTCTTCAGTGTGTGTGATCAGGCCTTTGAGCAGATTTTGGCTAGATTCCAGTGAAAAGCCCATCAGAAACCGTAGGAACAGGTCCAGATGTCCTCTCTTACTCTCCATGGCTTTATCAACGGCCTTCTGCAGTAGCTCCTGCAATGTGACAATTTGTTTTGGCTCATCAAAGAAAAACTGAAGCTCTTGCATGTTCTTGTTCAGGTAGCAGATGAACACATGCACTGCAGCGAGGAACTCTTGAACACTCAGATGCACAAAGCAGAACACCTTTGTCTTATAAAGTCCAACTTCCCTCTTAAAGATCTCAGCGATCATTCCTGTGAACTCAGTGTCTTTACTCGCATCAATACCACATGCTTTCAGATCTTCCTTATTGAAAACAATGTTTTCCTTCTTCAGCTGTTCAAACGCTAGCTTGGCTAACTTCAAAATCATCTCTCTATTTAATTGTAAGTGCTCTGTACGTTCTGTTTCTTCTTGTTCATCGTACTTCTGGTTCTTCATGTCCATCTGTATCAGCAGGAAGTGAATGTACATTTCAGTGAGTGTTGCGCTGATGTTCTCTGCATTGTTCTCACTGAGAATATCCTGAAGTACTGTGGCCGTGATCCAGCAGAACACAGGAATGTGGCATATTATGTAGAGACTACGAGACGTCTTAATGTGTGAGATGATTGTGGAGGCTTGAGTCTTATCTGTGATTCTCTTTCTGAAGTACTCTTCCTTCTGTTGGTCAGTGAATCCTCGCACTTCTGTGATCAAACCCACATACTGAACAGGGATCTGATTGGCTGCTGCTGGTCGTGAGGTCACCCAGACAAGAGCTGATGGAAGCAGCTTACCTTTCACCAGATTCGTAAACAGCGCGTCTACAGATACTTTTTTCTCAACAGTGTTCAGTAATCTACTTTTAAAATTTAGAGGCAGGCGACTTTCATCAAGTCCATCAAATATAAATGCAAACTTACATTCCTTATATAACTTTGTTTTCTCCAGGCCCTCCAGTTCAGGATAAAATTCCAGCAGAAGCTCATGGAGACTGAAATCTTCATTTGTCATTAAGTTAATCTCTCGGAATGGAAGCAGGAACACACAATGTATATCCTGATTGGCTTTTCCTTCTGCCCATTCCAGGATGAACTTGTGCACAGAGACCGTTTTTCCAATGCCAGCGACTCCCTTGGTCAGAACAATCTTTTCCTCATTGTTTTTCCTCAGTTCAGTAAATATATCATTGCAATTGATTGGTTTGTCCTGTGTTTTTTTGTTCTTGAAATCATCATTGATCTTCAGAATCTCATGTTCCTTATTGACATCTTTCATATCTCCCTCTGTGATGAACAGCTCTGTGTAAACAGCCTTAAGTTTTGCTTCATTTTCTTTGTTGCCCTCAAAAATATATTCTGCTTTCTTCTTCATGTTTGTTTTGTGAGTTTTAAAAAAGTTTTGCAGCTCTGTAATAAAAAAATAAATAAGATTGAGGGAGAAAAAAATTTACCCTTTTTGAGAAATATTTTCATATCAGCATGATCATCATTATTAATAACTGATGAAGACAGATTAAGCACAGTCCATATCTAACAACTTGGGTTCATTTGAAAAATGTCTGTATATGTTTTTCATGTTCTTTCTAGATCACAATCATTGTATTGACTGAGATCATCATCTAGCACAGGGGTTTTTAACTCCTGCAATGTGACAATTTGTTTTGGCTCATCAAAGAAAAACTGAAGCTCTTGCATGTTCTTGTTCAGGTAGCAGATGAACACATGCACTGCAGCGAGGAACTCTTGAACACTCAGATGCACAAAGCAGAACACCTTTGTCTTATAAAGTCCAACTTCCCTCTTAAAGATCTCAGCGATCATTCCTGTGAACTCAGTGTCTTTACTCGCATCAATACCACATGCTTTCAGATCTTCCTTATTGAAAACAATGTTTTCCTTCTTCAGCTGTTCAAACGCTAGCTTGGCTAACTTCAAAATCATCTCTCTATTTAATTGTAAGTGCTCTGTACGTTCTGTTTCTTCTTGTTCATCGTACTTCTGGTTCTTCATGTCCATCTGTATCAGCAGGAAGTGAATGTACATTTCAGTGAGTGTTGCGCTGATGTTCTCTGCATTGTTCTCACTGAGAATATCCTGAAGTACTGTGGCCGTGATCCAGCAGAACACAGGAATGTGGCATATTATGTAGAGACTACGAGACGTCTTAATGTGTGAGATGATTGTGGAGGCTTGAGTCTTATCTGTGATTCTCTTTCTGAAGTACTCTTCCTTCTGTTGGTCAGTGAATCCTCGCACTTCTGTGATCAAACCCACATACTGAACAGGGATCTGATTGGCTGCTGCTGGTCGTGAGGTCACCCAGACAAGAGCTGATGGAAGCAGCTTACCTTTCACCAGATTCGTAAACAGCGCGTCTACAGATACTTTTTTCTCAACAGTGTTCAGTAATCTACTTTTAAAATTTAGAGGCAGGCGACTTTCATCAAGTCCATCAAATATAAATGCAAACTTACATTCCTTATATAACTTTGTTTTCTCCAGGCCCTCCAGTTCAGGATAAAATTCCAGCAGAAGCTCATGGAGACTGAAATCTTCATTTGTCATTAAGTTAATCTCTCGGAATGGAAGCAGGAACACACAATGTATATCCTGATTGGCTTTTCCTTCTGCCCATTCCAGGATGAACTTGTGCACAGAGACCGTTTTTCCAATGCCAGCGACTCCCTTGGTCAGAACAATCTTTTCCTCATTGTTTTTCCTCAGTTCAGTAAATATATCATTGCAATTGATTGGTTTGTCCTGTGTTTTTTTGTTCTTGAAATCATCATTGATCTTCAGAATCTCATGTTCCTTATTGACATCTTTCATATCTCCCTCTGTGATGAACAGCTCTGTGTAAACAGCCTTAAGTTTTGCTTCATTTTCTTTGTTGCCCTCAAAAATATATTCTGCTTTCTTCTTCATGTTTGTTTTGTGAGTTTTAAAAAAGTTTTGCAGCTCTGTAATAAAAAAATAAATAAGATTGAGGGAGAAAAAAATTTACCCTTTTTGAGAAATATTTTCATATCAGCATGATCATCATTATTAATAACTGATGAAGACAGATTAAGCACAGTCCATATCTAACAACTTGGGTTCATTTGAAAAATGTCTGTATATGTTTTTCATGTTCTTTCTAGATCACAATCATTGTATTGACTGAGATCATCATCTAGCACAGGGGTTTTTAAACTGTGGGTCGCAGAGTGGGACAAGGTGGGTCACACAAAGTCACTTGGCTGCAGCTAAATTTGCGTTTCAATGACACTCACACAGTTCAGTCTAGGGCTGCACGATATAGCCTACCAACATTACCGTATTGGCCCGAATATAAGACGACCCCCCTTTTTCCAGATGTACCTTTTGGGAAAATGCTTTTTAAAAAACAAATCTTGTTTTTTCTCAGTAAAACACATTTTGTCTTCAATTATTTTCATATTGCATATTTTTCCTATTTTAATTTTTGTTTTGAAAGTATGGTAAAAACTGGTAAAATGTACCAACAATCACATTTAAAAAATATACACTTTTTGATATACCATTAAGAAAAAAACAAAACAGGTAGCCCATCTGAATTAGGACATTTAGGCTATCCATCTAATAGTAGCCTACCAAAATCTTATTAACAGTAGAAGTTAAATCTTACTGTAGTCTTCAAATCTGGGTACTGTCTTACGTTTTAAAATCACAAAGAGAGTTTGGTCCCATCAGGCTAACGTGACAGTCACGACTCATGCAGCTGTAAGCTTTTCTTTTTCTTTTTCTTTTGTTTTTACTCACGATCTTTACAACACGCATTAAATTACGTATTTCATGGCACACTCGTTTTATGCGTATTTGGCGCCACCTATTGTTGTGGATGTATTATTGACATGTCAAAGTCTAGACCCTGAATATAAGACGACCGCGTTTTCAGATGTATTTCCAAGAAAAAAACATCGTCTTATATTTGGGTCAATACGGTAATTAAGAATTGCAATAGCCTATCCTTAGTGCGATTTTTGAATTGCAATTAAGTCCGCGATTTAAGACATGCATTGCGTGTTTTGAAGCGCAGGCATGCATGAGTTATAATAACAGTGAGGGTCTCAGACCAACGTCATTATTAAAAGGCTCAATCGGCCCGCATTATTAATGAGAAAAAACTCGCTCACTTCAATGCGCTGTATTCTGCATGAGATTGCATACAGCTGAAAATCCAAATGTTACGAAAACGGTTTCAGGTAGGCTGTGTTCATTCATTTCTATTGTCTGTTTGAACTCGGCACTGTTTTCGTTCGGTAAACGGTCTGTAAAAAGCATTTCACATGTACGGGGTGAGCAGGGCACAAACGTAGGGTTAATTGTAACACTACAAGATTTAAACATTTCCACATGACAAAATTTCACAATATTTCCTTGACATATCTCTATATAGAGAGAAAATGTGCCAAAGTTCAAAAATCTTTTGAAGATATTGCTGAACATTTATTTAACCATTGCAGAAGTAAATTTCTGACTGAAGTCAATTGTTATCTCGGTTTTTAGTGTTTATTTAAAATGACACATCTGTTTATTATTTTTTAACTTTTTCACAATTATTTTAATCTCAAAACTGTTTTAGATAGGTCTGCTTTGCTTCTTATGCCTTGCTAAAAAAAAGTGTTGGGTTGCGCTCCGCTCTCCCCTACACACTGAAAGATCATGAATGCATTTTCTGCGCTGAACCCTGCGATGAGTTTAACAACACTCGCAGCGCAGATTACGGACGTTTCATATTTTAACATCTGTAAACAAAGAAATTAAACCTTAAATATTAGTAGTGAAATTTTACAGTTGTACTCTAAAATAAAATGGTTATTTTGGGAACAATTATTCACTATTAACTACGAATTTTTCCTCAATAAATTCCTAATTTGCTGCTTATTAATAGTTAGTAACGTAGTTGTTAAGTTTAGGTATTGGGTAGGATTAGGGATGTAGAATAAGGTCATGTAGAATAAGGCATTAATATGTGCTTAATTACTACTAATAAATGGCTAATATTCTAGTAATATGCATGCTAATAAGCAACTAGTTAAAGGGTTAGTTCACCACAAAATGAAAATTATGCTGTATTTTACTCACCCTCGAAGCATCCTAGGTGTATATGACTTTCTTCTTTCAGATGAATCCAGTCGGAGTTATATTAAAAATTGTCTTTGATCTTTCAAGCTCTATCGTTGCACTCAGCGGGTGTTGCATTGCTTCTGTCCAAAAGACGTGAAATAAAAAGCACCCTTCCACAAAAAAAAATGTCTCACACGGCTCCGGGGGGTGAACCAAGGCCTTCTGTAGTGAATCGATGCGTTTTTGTAAGAAAAATATCCATATTCAAAACTTAATAATCACTTTAATCTAGCTTGCGCCAGCAGTTGTACACAGAAGCAGTTCCGGGAGGATGACGTATGAGTTCAGCGTTGCGCATTTTTTTGGAAAGGTGCTTTTTATTTCACGTCTTTTGAACCGAAGCACTGCAACACCCGCTGAGTGCAATGATAGAGCTGGAAAGATCAAAGACAATTTTTTATATAACTCCGACTGGATTCGTCTGATAGAAGAAAGTCATATACACCTAGGATGCTTCGAGGGTGAGTAAAACGCAGCATAATTTTCATTTTGCGGTGAACTAACCCTTTAAGAGACCCTAAAATAAAGTGTTACCGTTATTTTTCTTTAATGCTTAATTTCTGTCATATTAAACTTTGTATTAAGATTAGGCTTGAAGTAATGTCAATTGTTTTTTTTATCTCAAATATTTTGGTGGGTCGTGAAATAGATTATACTTGTCTAGGTGGGTCGTGGAATGGAAAAGTTTGGGAACCCCTGATCTAGCACATCAAACGAGATGTGAGGCTGCATTTACAACATGTTTTGACTTGCTTCAATGAACTTTTGCATGTGTGGTTGTAATCATGCCTTGGTGACAATGAATCAATTTGGTGACAGTGCCACCTATCGGCCAACTTTAATAACCAACTGTATCACATGCAGGACCGAGTTTGCCCATGCCTGTTTTAGACCATTGTGATCTGGATATCACTGGAGAAACACTGTTTTCTTCTACACTGCAAAAAATGCTTTTCTTACCTTGTCTTGTTTCCAGCCAAAACATCTAAAAAATCTTAACTCAAGAAGGATTTACTAGACGAGTAAAAATTTGTATTGTTTTTCAGAAGATTTTCAGTCAAAATTAAGCGAGTTTTTGCTTGAACAAGCAAAATAATCTGCCAATGGGGTAAACAAAATACTCTCGTTTTCTGTTTGAAATAAGATTATTTTGCTTATCCCATTGGCATATTATTTAGCTTGTTCTAAGCAAAAACTCAATTTTGACTTGTTTTTTTTCTGAAAACAAGACAATAATTGTCTAGAAAATCTTTCTTGATTTAAGAATTTTTATATATCTGGGCTGGAAACAAGACAAAAAGTTTTTTTTTGCAGTGCACTGATGTTTTGATGGCCCTGTAATTGCTGCTTGCGTTATATTTTCTTGTTTCCATTTACAGACAGTGATCGATATTTACTCCAGATATGTTGTGGATTACCTCCAACAGGGACAGATGTCTTCATATTGCCCTCAGCCTGAGCTGTGAGGGAGAGAAAGAGAATTACTCACTGGGAAACATTTATCTCACAAACACATCAGCAGAGCAAAGAGGAAAAGAGGTTTCACTTGTAAATATTTAATCACGTCACAGTGAATTAAATGTTACCTTGCTTTTGTTCATTCTCCAACTGTTCAGCCAGATCATTCTGGTTCATCTTCCTCAGGATGTCCACCATGACCTTCACAGCTTCTTCTGCTTCAAAACGTGCCACCATAATATCTACTGTGTCGAGTCTATCTGCCTTTTCCAATTCAGACCTTGATAAATCCTCATGATGTAAATTCACTAAGTGCCACTGAAACTCCTTCAGTTCAGCTCCTACCAGCTCCTTCAGTGAGTCCACGAGCAGTTTTTTAACAGACGTCATCGTCCTTCACCAACTCACGGCTGCAGGACAAGAAAAAGAAAAGATCTGAAGTACTTCCAAGTGGACCTAAGCTCAAATCTTATTTGGATTTTGAAGCTGTGAATAGAGACATGAATCGTCAGAAAGTTGTTTTAAGCAAATCTGATATAATTGCTTGGAATTTTGTTAGCAAAAAAACAACAAACAAAAAAATGATGTAAATAATATCTCAGTGCTGTCTGATACTGTAAGTGTAGAATCAATACAGTGCATGACACTTTTAAATCCATGTTTCAGTATCTCATGAAGTAGTATTATTTACTAACCATGAATGAGCTCTTCATTAATTGCAAGCCGTTCTATTTGCCGCGGGAGTTTTGCTCGTTCATTCTTGTCAGTGTGTACATCCCTCCGCAAGCGCACGTGAGCTCCGCTTTACAGAAACTCGCTGATCTGATCACAGACACAGAACAACAACACCCGGACTCTGTTTTAATCATTCTCGGGGACTTTAATAAAGCCAATCTCTCCCGTGTACTGCCAAAATACAGACCGCACATCACATGTCCCACCAGAGACAGTAATATATTGGATCACTGTTACACCACAATAAAGAATGCATATCACTCTGTCCCACGAGCAGCTTTGGGGCTCTCTGATCACTGCTTGGTTCATCTTATACCGACCTACAGGCAGAAACTGAAATCAGCTAAACCTGTATTAAGGACTGTAAAAAGATGGACTAATGAAGCAGTGATGATGCAGATGTTTCTTGTTTCTCCAGTTAACTGTCTTGGTCAGAAGTTCTGAAAGACTCCGGAGGGGGAAGTTTTCTTCAGAACTTAAACCTGTTCAACCAGAACTTAAACCAGAAAACTAATGAAACCAATTTTTCAGCCTCGAGATGAGAGTAAAACCATGTGGAGAATCCCTGTCTGCCATCAACAGACCCACACACAGCATATCTGACAATCCACTGAGTGAAATAATTGACAAATTACAGGTAAAAAAAAGACACAACAGGAATGCACCAATCATGATTTCTCGTGGATGATTACACTATTTCAAAAACAAATGGGCTGATTTGTGTTTCATAATGACTTATTTGTTGTTAAGGTAAGACTTCAGGGAATAATTCTCACTGCTTATTAAACACTACATTAACGACATTATATGGCGGTAGGATGAATAGAAAATGGCATTGAAACTTTTTAGAAAACAGTCAGTTGCTTTCTGATTGAACCCTTTAATAATACTTTATAATGCATTATACATAGAGGGATTTAAGTAAAGTCTTACCAAAATATGCTATTGTCTCTGGCCACTGTCTTGTACAAGAATAAACCTGCGTTTCTTCTGGTTAGGTAAAAAAACCTGTAGTTTATATAAAGTCAAGTTCAGCATAAATTATCACACTGCTAAAGAGTCCTTTAATTAGAAGAGATATAGTTGTTACATGCCAGCTTGATCACTGAGTCATACCCACTTTTTTAAGTACACCAGAAAAATAAATAAAACTGTTTGACGGCTTTTTATGCAGATGAAAATTTGCGTAGAAAATTAACAATTTAGTGTCATCAACTACAGAAAATACAGTGTTATAATCCAAACCAATATCATGGGTGTATCTACTGTAATTATCTTATGAAATGCACTTTGTTTAAATATTTCTAGAAGCACATTGTCACGAATTCGGTCCATGGACTTCCGTTTATTCACCACCAGAGGTCATCCTTTCCCTTACATTGACTCTCGCACAACACAAGCTGTTGCATAGCACCCCGGACTACGTATCCCATCATTCATTGCACGGTTTGCACACTGCACTGATTGCACTCATTGCACACAGCTGTTTCTTATCACCTCACACACTATATAACATTTTATAACACTTGCCTGTTTCTGCGGTTTCTGATCTTTGCTAACACTTTATAACACTTGCCTGTTTCTGCGGTTTCTGATCTTTGCCTGTTTTCCTGGATTTTTCCCTCTCGTCTTGCCCCTGTGATTCTGTCTGCCGATCGGTGACCTACGCTAGCCCTAGTGTTCTTGTGTTTTGCCCGCCATATACCTGTTTGCCATTGTTTGACCCTGCCTGTTATACCACGTCTCTTTAATAAAAGCTTGCAGATGGATCCACGTCTCGTCAGCCCCGTTACAGACATATTCATTTTGAGTAGTTGCAAGTTACACAAAGACTCAAGATTACACAAAGAAAAAAAATGCAGACAATGTTCTGTGGTTTACATCTGTCTGTGTAATAATAAAACATGTCCACACTTTTCCTTAAAAAAAAAGATTACACAAAGACCATGTGATATGTGACCCTGGAGCACAAAAGCAGTCTTAAGTCGCTGGGGTATATTTTTAGCAATAGCAAAAAAAAAAACATTGTATGGGTCAAAATTATAGATTTTTCTTTTATGCCAAAAATCATTAGGATATTAAGTAAAGATCATGTTCCATGAAGATATTTTGTAAATTTCCTACCGTAAATATATCAGAACTTTATTTTTGATTAGTAATATGCATTGCTAAGAACTTCATTTTGACAACTTTACAGGCGATTTTCTCAATATTTTGATTTTTTTTTTTTACACCCTCAGATTCCAGATTTTCGGCCAAATATTGTCCTATCCTAACAAACCATAATTTAAAAAAATTGACCCTTATGACTGGTTTTGTGGTCCAAGGTCACATATATTCTCCTTATATTAATTAAGAAAGGCAATGCATGAGTAATATCTATGACTGAAATATATTTTACATTACATATTACTTACAGTGTAAAACAACCCATGGAGTAACAAAAGTAGGGTACTTTAAGATTATCATTATATCAATTACATAAGTTTGAAAACATGATTGCAGAACTCACTATTGCATAGTGAAACATGTTACAATCTTGTAATCCCTATTTGTCCCTATTGAATCATGTTTCTTGAGTGCTTCATGATGAAGTTAGTATTTTATGCTTACTTACATTAGCAAAGGCACTTCCTTATTAAAGACTGGCTTTGATCAAAATGTTCAGCTACTAGAAGTTCTCAAAGTGTCCTTGGTTTCCCATTAGGTACATCTAAATTCCCACATCAGCAAATAATAATAACAGTTTGATGATCAGTTTTTCAAAATGAAAAAAATCTTACGGTCAAGTGTAAACACTGCACGTACAACAATCTGCTTTCACTTTCGTTTTGTCAGCAAGGTTGCCAAATCTGTCTGAAAAAAAGACACCTCATCATCTGCATAGTTTTTACACAGTTTAGTTGTGACAGTGACTACAGACTGTTTATCAGATTTCTGGTAACACTTTATAATAACGATCAGGTATAAGTAATTTAAAAGTGTTTTGTTTGTGATTAACTAATCATTTAAACATGAATATACATTTGTAGATGATTAATAAGTGGTATGTTATCATGCCACAAGTGTGTTTTAAGTCATCCAAAAATGTTTTTGTAAGTCATGAAATAATCATATCATTCGTAAATGATTAATAATTATTTGATATATTATAAATCACTTATTTTCAGAAATTTGCTCTGACAGTCATAATATTACACTGCTCACATTTTATCATGAAGCTTTGAGATGTTGAAATTTATTAAAAATGATTTGAAGAAAAAAAAATATTATTGTATGGATAAAAAATAACACATTCAACCTCCACTACAGACCTTAGTCTGTCTGACACTGACATCTAGAGGACATTTCTGAGACTCACAGACAAACCCGTTTTTCACACAACACTCAAACCAGGAACAGTGTTGCCAGATTGGGCACGTTTCCATCCAATTGGACTTCTTTTGATCAGGCTGGACCAGAGAAAAATGCATTGGGCAGGTGGACAAAATTTGGGATGCATCTTTTAAATAACTGATGGGTTTTTGATTCACTTTTTTGTTTGGGCATGTTATTTTAATACGTTTGAACACATGAATAAAGGCAGGGTAGGTGATTTGGTTCAAAAAAAAATTTTGTTATGCTGGTCGAAAGTCTCTTCACATCCCGATAGCAAATAGTTAAGTGGTTTAAACTTATTTATATGCATTTGTATCATCTGTGGAAGTCGTAGGACCATAAAATGTTATGAATGCCTGTCAAAATATGTATTTGCATACCTCTGTGCACCGTTTGCCCAGACATGATACGTCATCAGCACGTTCCAGCGAGAATGAAAGGCGCTATTATTGTGATATTATGCACGTGGATGTTTTACGAAAATGCGGGTTAGGCCCCAAAATCGGCTATAGGCTCCGTACGGACGCCTCCGGGGGCGCCCTCGCGCTGCGAGGCCACGAACACCCTATGGAGCCCCTTACCTCCTTTTCTTCATTGCAGTCTTCCTCAGTGACACGGAACGCCTATTTTGGCCCTAACCACCTAAAATTCACCATAGTCTTCCTCAGTGCCACAGAGCGCCTATTTTGACCCCTAACCATCTAAACTTCATCATAGTCTTCCTCTGCCACGGAGTGCCTATTTTGACCAGAAATGCTGAGTGTGTGCGCAAGTCGTTGAAGAGAGGCGTGGCCATGCACCGGACTTCAATGAGAGCCGAAAAGGAGGTTCAGGTCATCGCCAAGGCCACCCTTTTAAAGTGCCAAACCCAGGCGGTTCAGGCCATCCCGGAGTTATTGAGTAAGTAGTCTTACCTTCGCTTTGACTCAGTGTACTTATCTGCTGTTGACTGTTGAACGGAACCTTGACGTTTCGCTCTCTCCTGTCCGTAGCCCTCCTGGAGAATGACCCAACACAGAAGATACTGTGGCAGTTTTACGGGCACTTTGCAGCACTGCTTTCTTCCATCTACGGCCACAGAGGGGGTGTATTTCAGAACATAACCTTCCAGGAGGTGCTGACGGCCCAGAAATCAACATCTCAGAAGGCACATCTCATTATTGTGAGCATCTGACTTGCTTTTCATACCTCTGCTTGATTTGTTTGTCACCTCTTTTGAGTGTCTTGTGTGTTTTCTGGTGTGTCCACAGGTGACCAGCCACAAGACAAATCAGGCA